ACTAATTAAATCTTATGATTTCATATTAATATATTAGAACTTATAATATATTAATAAATCATAAATGACCTCTTCTCAAAAGTCCATCCTATCAAATTGTCCTGGTGATATGCAACCCAAATGGACCATGCTACTCTCGGGTCAAGTACATACAAATTATAGTTATGAGTTTAGACACCTAATCCAACAATATCAAGCTTTTCATAGACAATTATTATGATTTTCTTGCTATGACAGATGTCGAACTTGCTTTGGCTATGGGAAGACAAGTAACAGTACCACAATCAATGCTCAAAGGTCAAGGAAGTCTCAAGAATTTTGAAGATGGAGAAATATGTGTTAAGCCTTTGGGTGTTGTGTTCGTTGGGAAGAATAAGAAGCAGAAGATTACAATGTTCTTATTCCAAGTCTATGATGTCGAAAAGCATACAAATTCTCAGTACACGAGTCTACTGGTTCGTCTTAATAACTACAAAAGGAACACAGCTGGTGATAAGGCTGAGGTTCGAAAGACGATTGTATGGTATACAAAGATTCGAAGAGTACTTCATCAAACAACGAAGATGCTAATGACTTAGGATTCGACACTTCTCACAAAATGGGAGAATGTAGAGGTCGAAATATGTTGTGAGGTGTCGAAGTGTCTTTGGTCATGTCTAGTGTCGAAGTCTATCTTGATGTATTCGTTATATGTATTTCATAAGGACAGTTTAGAGTTCGAAGCTTCAGTGTATTAGCCCTTATGTATTTTTTGTGCTTCTGTTAACTCCTATAAATAGGGGTAAGTATATGTATTAGAGTAGCTTTTGTGAACTGTAAGAACACTTTACTCTTTCATATTGTGTACTCTCTCAGAAGCAATAAGAGCCAAATAGATTATATTTACTTTTCGTGTTCTCTAATCAATTCATACTCTGATTTCATTCTTACACTCAATTCATATGAACTACACCAGGGAGTCATTCCTACAATCCCTTCAATGTCGTAGAAGGATCTAGGTTGACATCACTATTACTTCCATGTTTGTTGCTTTCGAAATCAACCTTGTTCAGAATCGTTGTTCCTGTTAACTTTGTAATTGAACAAGGTGTTAATTACGAGTTCTTCGATCATTATCTCGATCGTAGTTGCGGCAAGCGATTGTGCTGGTGTTGGACGATCACTGAATGGTCTCTTGTGAGACATATCTTTGTCACATTACAATTGGTTCAAGGAGAAATGAGTCGCATGAAAATATCGATGTGTATATAAGCGATAGTGCTAAAGTTATGCCAAACGTGTAGAATTGACGTGGGTTTGCCCCAAAACAAAATGACATTACTATGAGTATTATGTGTAGTAAAATTTTATAGTACTACCAAGGGTGAAAATTTTACACTTGGAAAGAGTGAAAAGAATCAACCGTGTATTGGGAGAAATGGTACAAACTTATAAAGAAAATATTGCAGAGAAAGTTGACTACTACCCGATGTTTTCAGCATATCTTGAATTCTAAAGTTTTGATTCATTTGAATAAGGATGTTTTGGAAAATAGGCAATATTCCTAATATTGTTTTCACATTTTTTATCAAATCTGCTTTATTCTTCTTCAAAAAGGGTCACAAAAGACGAAGGGTAGGTGTAGGTGTCCTTCTTTTGAACTTGAATGGTTCAATCATGAGTCGGACGGTTCACAACAAAACAAAACAGACTGAGCGAATAATTAAGCAGAATTCAAAATAATTCGCGAAGGTGCATATATTTTGCAAGGTATTCCTACGAGGTCTAACAAATACATTCTTAGGATATCATAATTGAGCAATTAGTATTTCAAGATAGATTTTGGACATGATTTACGTTTATGATATTCATAGTTTCATGAGCATTTGAAGTAAATATTCGCTAAGTATTCGTAAATGTTCCCTAAAAATTTGAGAATTCTTAAGCGTTTTGAACTGTGGTTTTCTTTAAATATTATGGATTCCAAGCGTTTTAGTCTATTAAAAACCAAATCCAAGCTTGATTGTTCATCGGTCTAACCATAATTAAACACAGGTGATCAGTTTACGTCTAGTTGTGGTTCGGCCCACTATTATTGTAATAAATCTTTATTTATAAATTTGTCAAAAATATCATATTTGTATCGTCGAACGTTTTTTTTTTTAAGTTTTGTAATTTTTTTTTTCAAATTTTTTATCATTAATAAAGTTGGAAAAAATATAAATTAAAAACAAAACTTAAAAAAAAATAGATATGTGTGTTTTTTTAGGCTAGAAGATGTCTGAAGATGTTAGAAGACTCTGGTCTACATCTGCGCCAAGAAGAGGGCGCACAAACATTTTTAGGTCTACAATGTTCAAAAAAACAAACAGTCCGCGAAGGCTAATATATGTGCGGCGCAGAGAGAAGAGACCACGCAAATCTGTAGATAAAAAACAAACACCACCTATGAGAGGTAGCAAGGGTATCGTCGATCATACACTCCTAAAGTTTGACGCACGAAAGGCATCTTGCATGTCGTTTAATTCTTAAGGTAGTTTGATAAAAATAACAAGACCAAATTCTTTTAAGAATTTCGAAGGTCTTTTGAGTCCCTGTTTTAATTTGACTTATTCTCTAAGCCGAATCATTTCTTAAATAGGAAAGCATTTAAAGTTACACAATCTCTATCTTGGGAGTCGAGGCTTACATCTTTGTCTACATAATTCTCTCGTTGATCGTGTATGGTCTGAAATCTTCCTCCGGCTCACACAACCTTTTCTGTGATCTCATGACTGATTCTTAGATCACAATGCAACATTAGGCGTACAAATTCGGTTCATAAAGTATCACATCCCGTCATATTTTGTTTCAGTATTATTTTTTGATAATGTTTTGAAGTTTTTTGAAGCGTTTGCATACATCTAAAAGTATATTTTGTTTCAGTATTATTTTTTATTTTTATTTTAATATACGTGGATTGATGTAAACCTTTTGGTTATGTGTTTTTTTAATGTATTTGAATTAATCTACAACTTATTTGTATATGTTTTTTTTAATGTATGAACTTCTGGACGTCAAATTCTTGATATTTGTATGTATGTATGTAGGTAACGAGGAAAAATGATTAATGTATAGAAACCGGATTGCACAAGGGTCGAACCAATTAAACCGGTTAAATGTATGTGTATAGCTTGTTAACATATATTAAACTGGTTCAACTAAAAAGTTGGGTTTTTAAAACATTGGCTCACACAAATAGGAATTAAATTAAAAACTATTCTACAAATTTCGTCTATTTTACAACATCCTCGTATCTATTATATAAATTAGTGAAACATGTATTTTATTTGGATGCATTAGATGTTTAAGTGGAAATATCACCTCCTATATTTACAAATCTAATCATTATTACTTTTTGGTTTTTGGTTAAGTAATTTATTTAATTAAATGTATAAAATAGAATAGGGTACAGTGGTGGAGCTACATTGGGCGTTGCGGGTACTACATCATCCCAAAAAAAATTGTTATATATATATATATATATATATATATATATATATATATATATATATATATATATATATATATATTAGGTTAAAACCCGTGGAAACCACGGTTGACATTGTTTCCATATTAAAATAATATAGATAAAAAACAAAAACATAGTTGTTTTATGAGACTAATATTTTTTACATCCATGATTCTTTATTTGAGAATAACACGTTAATTAGTACGTGATTAGTTACCCAACGAAATTCAAGGAGTCAATGATGAAAGTTGTGCTCAAATTTGTTTTCTTGGCCAGATTAGTGCTTAAAACTTTCGGTTATTCTCCTCTTTTCACTCATGTTATTATGCTCCTTGCAAGTTTCCTAAACTTATGAAGAATGCAAAATAGTTGATAATATTAGTTTTTGTGTATTATTGCAGCACTAGGAGTCACAGTTGATAAATCGGCAAAAGCAAGTGTCACTCATGCTGGAAGAGCTCGAAGCACAACTATCAAGGAGTGCGGATGTGAAGGGGATTCAGATTGTCGTGGGTTCTGCCTACCTGGGCAACGTGCATTGTGTTACCAAGATACAGATGAATATCAGGCAAACAAATTAAACAAATTAATAATATAATAATTTTAAGAAGAATTCAATTATAATTGATATCATTCTTCTTTATACAAATGCTTGCTAAGTGCTAATTCTTATAAAGAGATGTCTCAGCCAAACTTGGGTCTTCACCAAAAAACTTATTCTGAACACCTATTGTTCCAAGCAAACAAAAGAGATTTCACACTAATTTTCATAAAAAAATAACCAAACATAAGGGTATATATGTAATTTTACTTATTGTTTCAGAATCAGGTTGCATTTTGCAAAAGCTAAACCATCGAAGCAATGTTCGGCCTGTACTATATATTGTTTGTCATAATTTAAAACATTACAACGTACATAGCTACAATAGGCCACTCTAAGCACTTTAAGTGACATTTTTTTAGCCTGGGCACTTTTTTGATATGTTATTTTTTTAGAGCAAAACATATGTTGAAATGTAAGCTTGACTTAAGGTAATTTGGTCATTTCAAAAGGTAGTTATTCTATTAGTTATACATTAGTAATTATGGTTATTAATTTTTTTAGGTGGGCTAGTCATGCGTAATTGCCAAGCTTGAAGAATGTATTGGTAGTTGCAATATTCAGAAGGATTTTGTCGGTTGGTTGTATGTGGATATGTATATGTGGATTATCTCTGTCAAAATTAAGTAGTTAATAAAGATTATTAGTTCTTGAGTTATAATAATTTTCCTATACATATTAATTATTGCACAAAGTTCCTGTAAAAATTTGTTATTTTAAACTTTAGTCTAACGATATACATCGCTATCAAACTACCAATATCAACATATTCAGTGACATTCGGTACCCTGCCGGCCCATGGGTCTGGGCAAGCTGGACGACCGCCCAGAACCCCACATTTCTACATGTTATTAGGTTATATTGGTGAAAGTCCAAATTTTTTAAGCCTTTTGTACTAGTTTTGGCCCAATATTATCAGTTATGAAGCGTCGATCCAAATTGAAAAAGCGTGGGTAAACGTGCGGCATGCCTACTGACCTACTGCGATTCCAACTTCCAAGGCCAGTTTAATCTCTTCAATCTTCGGCTTCGCTTGAATAGCTTCTATGGAAAATCCAAACGACACCATCGTCCATCTCTCCCGATGCCAACGCCCTAATGTTTAGTTCACATTCTTCTATTTCTAGTTCAAGGTAATCAGTTCTTCTCCTCTTTATGATTCTCTGAATTAGCCTCCCAATACTCAATACTCTTTCTTTCTCTTCTAATTTCTGATTTCAGTTTTTTTGAAACAGCAGTAGCAGCAATCGAGATTAGTGGAAATTGGATTTCTTTTGATAGTTGATACTTGAGACTGGAGATTAACTGCAACACCAATTGGATTTCTTTCAATCTTTGAATCGAAAGTTTTTATCTGTGTAAGTCTGTAATTTCTGAATCTGTGGACTTAATTTCGTTTTTTCATTAAAAATATGTTGGATGTAGACTGCAGTGGATCTATGGACATTGATTCACTGAAATAGAAATAGAGTTTTCTGATTTTGTTTTTTCATTAGGAATTTGCAAAATCAATTTTGTTATGAATCATTGTTCATCATTGAAATAGAATTCTCTCATTTCTATTTGTATGAATCATTGCTTATTTTGATTTCTCTGTTTAACTATTTTTTAAACTTCAGAATTCTCATTTCTTTTGGGCTGCTGAAGGATTATTATTTTATTAACAACCAAGACGCAAGACAAAGACTCTAAGAGAGCAGCTAAGCAGATTACAAGTACTCTCTTTTCATTTTTTGTTAATCTGTTTTTTGTGATTATGAATAATTCGAAATTTTGGGATTTTAAAGACGAATTTGTTTTAATTTGATATATCTATTTTCTAATCTTCAGATTTCTCACTTCTGTTGAATGAGGATATAAACAACCAAGAGAGAGCTGAAACCTTCTATGCATGTAGTCTTTTGTCACTTTATTTGTTTATCTGTGTTTTTTTGTGAATATGTGTGATTGATTGTTGATATGTTATCTTGATTTTTATTGGTTAAAAATGCCTCCTAGAAAATACAGTATGATGATGCTCAAAAAGGATCTATGAATAAGTTTGTAAAAAAGTTAAATTTCTCTAATGTACAAGATAATGTTATCTTTAGTTTTTTTTTTTTTTTTTTTGCTATGTATATGTATTAGGGTTCGGAGTATGTTCTAGCCTTTTATTTTGTTGTTTTAAATTAATAGTTGCTAGGTTGTTAGGTTTATGAGGCTTGTCATCGAGCCTTTTTTCTTCATAGGTGGGGAGTCCCCAGCCCTCGAATGTATTTTTTTTAATTAATAAAAAATTAAGAAGGTGTCGCCCTCCCTTACACAAAAAAAAAAGTTTCGAAGGGGCCCAAGTTTTTATTTTGCCCTGGCTCCAAATTGTCTAGGACCGGCAGCCATCACAGTTTCATGTTTTATCAATGGTTTTCTGCATTCCATATTTTTTGTTGTTTTAAAGACAAATATGATGTAAGAAACCTTTCCGTGAAACTCTGGCTAGTAGTAGTACATCTTGGGCATCTACAGGGTGCACAATGGGCATACCTCTCATAGCCTTCCTCTTACTAATTACCAGCTGATTGTCGACACACCCACCACCCACAAAACCAAATAATACCATTTCCCATCTGTTAAAAATAAGTTTTTTTATAAACAAATAATTATCAAAATATAGATTTGGGGTAGCACATAGGAGACCAACAAAAGCTTTAATTACCGAGAAGCTGAAATTACTTGTACCAGTCGATCCCCAAACCGCTGCAACTGTATTGAGTTCTTGGTCGTATATCAGTAATTTCAGCAAAGGATTCTTAGATTATTTTGATTTTACAGCTTTATAAACCTTCTGCTTTAACAATGCATGCATGGTGTGAATGGTATCTAGTAGAAAACGATCACCCCCATATGTTGCTATGAAAGACAGCGAAACAGGGAAGTTTTCATACATCCCCCATGTTTACGATGATTGCAACCAAATATATCACTTATCCACATGGTGAGTTCCTTCTTTTCTATCATAGTGTGTTTTGTTCCAACAAAAACAATGCTGAAATCAAAAGAAAAACAACAACTAACCTTGTCTATCTTAGATTCCCGTTTTTTCCATTTGGACCGAAAATCGAACAATGATAACAACCAAGCAATGAAAGTAAATAGAGAAAGAAACAAGAGATTTATGTGGTTCAACAAATTTGCCTACACTTACACCAGAAGAGAGAGTCTTTTGTATTAGGTTAAGCAATTCACCTCATTTTTCCCTCTGCGATACATGATGTTCTTCTCACACACTCTAACCCTACCTCTCTTCATTGAGAATTACATAACAAATAAGGATTGGCTTTTTAACAATGGGCCAAAACAGTTGGGCCAGAAACTTAAGTTACTAGGTTGGGCTGACTCAAGCTCACTAGAGTTGTCTCAAGCTCACTAGATAGACCACTTGAGCTCATCACTTGAGCTGAATACCAAAAACTCTCCACCTCGAACAACATTTGATAGAACACAAATTTTGGACGATACACCAAAGAAGAAATTGCACTCCTTGATATGTAAAACTCAATCCAGTTGCACCATTTAACCATGGCTGCCTACGTACCCTCATCTGGGATCAAGACACTATTGTTCACTTCACTGGGTGATAACTCAACCTCTCCTTGACGTTGCCTCGCAAGGCCATTACCCTCAAGGGAAATCATCACTAATAAATATTAAGCAAATTCAAGCAATGCTTAACCATGCCACCTGGTACCACCTTGGTCCTTGGTTAACATGTCTGTTGGGTTCTCATTTGTATGCACCTTCATAAGAGAAATATCAGCATCCTCTTTGACATCCCACACAAAATGATATCTGACATTTATATATTTGATACGAGCATCATAAAATTGATTTTTAGCTAAGTGAATTGCACTTTGATTATCACAACACAAGTCTACACAATCTTTCTCAAACCCCAAATCATCTAAAAAACCCCACAATCATAGTGCTTCCATTTACACCTTATGTTATAGCCATGTACTCAGCCTTTGTAGTAGAAACTGTCATTGTTGCTTGTAGCATTGATCGCCAACTAAGTGGAGTACCATGTAGTTTCAACACATAGCCAGTAGTAGATCGACATTTGTCCAAATCACCATCATGATCTGAATCCACAAATCCAGTACGTCGACATGTATTTCCACCAAATCATCCCAATGTGCCTTCCCTGGGTTCGCCATGAACATGCTAACCATACTGACCACGTGTGAAATATTTGGACGTGTACACACCATGGCATACATCAAACTGCCAACTTCACTAGCAGAAGGCATACACTCCATGTATGTCTTATCTTCTGCTACACTGGGAGATTGTCAACTAGAGAGCTTAAAATGTATAGCCAATGGAGTCACCACTAACTTGGCATCTTGCATCCCGAACTTCATAATAACCCACTCAATGTAGCCTTTCTGGCTCAAGCACAATCGATAGTTCGACCTCTCTCTTCTAATCTCCATACCCAGTATTTTCTTGGCAATTCCCATGTATTTCATCTCACACACTTTACCAAGTTGAGATTTCAGCCAATCTATCTCCACCTTCCTCTACGAAGCAATAAGCATGTTATCCACATAGAAAAGAAGATAAATACAATCACCTCCATGAAGCTTTTGCATGTAAACACAACAATCAAATAGATTTCTAGAGAACCCATACTTTAGCATTAAAGAGTCAAATCGCTTGTACCACTGTCGAGGTGATTGGTTCAATCAATATAGTGATTTCCTCAAGCGACATACTTGACTTTATTTATCAACAACCTTGAATCCCTTAGGTTGATGCATATAGATTTCCTCATCCAATTCTCCTTGCAAGGAAGCAGTTTTTACATCGAGTTGTTCTACCTCCAAATCACCATGAGCAACAGTACTTAACAACACCCGGATGGAAGTGTGTTTCACTACCAGAGATAATATCTCATTATAGTCTATTCCCTCCTTTTGTGCAAACCCCTTTGCTACTATTATTGCCTTGTACCTTGTAACAATGAGTTCGGAAGGATCCTCCTTTTTTTGTACACCCACTTACAACCAATAGCTTTTTTCCCTATGGGCAAAGGGACCACCTCCCAAGTTTGGTTTTTCCGAAGAGACTTCATCCCTTCTTCCATAGCAACCAACCAACTCTTATTATTGCCATTCTAAATAGCTTCCTTGAGGAGACCGACTCATCTTCCTGATGGGTTTTGAGCATAACAAAGTTTCCCTATGTGTGCATGCAACCCTAATTCTTGGATCTATGTTTTCTCTAATTGAACATACAACTTTTAAACATTAAATGGAAAACCCTAGGAGATGTATATTATTTTCGAAAATCATAACTAAGGTTAGTAAACATACCTTTAATTGTTATGTTGTAATAACAATTATAATCCAAGTCTTCTTGAACATTGAGAGCAAGCGTCACAAGTGTTACGCCTCTAGTAGATCACACCCAAACTAAGCAAGAGGATGTGAGAGGAGACAGGAGGAAGGAGCTTGAAATTTTCGACTACTCTTCTAGGGATTCTGGTTGCCGAAAATGTGAAGGCGTAAGGCTCTTTATATAGGTGAGGTATCTTAGAGCCAAAGCTAGGGTTTTAGGAGGAAACCCTAATTTCTTAGCTTAAGAACCAAGCAACCCAAGAATCCCCATCCAAGAGCCCTTGGAAGAAAATTCTAGGGCCTTCCTAGAAGTTTTCGTCCAACCCTTTTTAGGGAGGTTCTAGAGTCTCTTTCCTTAACTATCAATAAATTTCTAAACAACTCCTGCACTTTTAATTAATTCATTTAGTCCCAAAATTAGTTTCAATTAATTTCTGATTAATTATTAATTAAATAATATGATTTCTAATTAATATATTATTCCTATAATACATTAATAAATCATTTATTTCAATTTATTAATCTACTAATAAAGTCAACCTCTCTCCGAAAGTCATCCTGTCTAGTTGCTAGTTGTGAGGGCAATCCAAAAGGATTGTGTTACTATCAATTCAAGTATATACCAACTATAGTTATGGGCTTAGACACCTAATCCAACAGTCTCCCACTAGGATAAGTCTAATAACTATATTTTCTAGTATGTTCTTCAAAAACTGATTAGCAAATTGTAGCTGTCAAAGCCGTTGTCGACCTCTGACCTAGTCAGTTATGTGTCCTAGGATTAGTGATTATATAATCCTCCATTTTGTAAGATATCATGTGGAAAAACGACATGGAACATAATCAATCTCATTGTCCAATACTCTATTTCCCGATTTCCGATTTGTAATGACAAAGAAGTACTAATCGAACACATCAATTTTAGTCATGGTCAAGCTCGGCACTACAAGTCAACACCAAATCATCGAGGGGACCAAGATATCACTTTTCCCATTTGGGAAAAAGGGACAGATAAACTTTGACTTATATGTTTTTACTATTTACTCATCAAATCACACACACCAATACGTTTTATAACATTAAGTTACTGATGCGTTTATGCATTATCAATGAACAACTAACTTGTAAACAACAACTCATATATCTCCGTTTAAAGATTATAAGATATTATCATCTCATAATTACTCGTGTTAAATTCTATGAAGTAATTCTCTGAGCGTGGGTTAATCAAATACTTCAATTCACTATTTCAAAAGTACACATGAATACTGTAGCAAACTATTGCTATGTCTAAACCCTTCGACAATCTATAGTCCGATTCATGGTAGTCTTGATTCATTACTTACTTCCAAAAGTATGATCGACTGTGGAAATTCGAATAATCCAATTATTCGGGAAGTAAAACATGTAAAATGAAACACAATAATAAACAATTGACAAAAGATAGTAAACAATACTCATAAATAATTCTTCATTACTTAATCATCAAATGTCAAATAAATTTACTTTGTTACAAGTTTCTAAATATCTTTCTAACTACTAAAACTAATAACATCTTTCAGACCAATGCTCCTTGCATGTTGAACATTCTTAACCCTACTCAGACCCTTTGTGAGGGGATTTGCAAGATTCTCTTCCGATGATACCCTCTTCACGACGAGGTGTCCTTCTTCTACTCTATGTCTGATAAAATGGTATTTTCTGTCGATATGTCTTGATCTGTCATGATCTCTCGGTTCCTTTGTCAAGACAACCGCTCCTTCATTATCACAAAAAATCTCCATTGGCTCTTTATGGCTGATATAACTCCAACGTCTCCGATGAAGTTCTTCAACCATATAGCGTCCTTCGATGCTTCGCTTGCTGCTATGTATTCTTATTCACAGGTAGAATCAGCCACAGTCTCCTGTTTGGAACTTTTCCATGTCATTGCTCCTCCATTAAGGGTAAACACCCAACCAGAATAATAACGAAAGTTGTCTCTATTTGTCTGAAAGCTAGCGTCACTATACCCAGTTACTCTCAAGTCATCACTGCCACCAAGCACAAGGACCCAATCCTTAGTTCTTCGCATATACTTAAGAATATTCTTGACCGTTGTCCAATGAGCTCTACCTGGATTTCCCTGATATCGACTAACCATGCTCAAAG